GGGTTAGGGTACCTTCAACACAAGGATTACCTCATCGTTCATTATATAATTAAAAAAAAAACTATGCAGGAAGGAGAAATGTGAGGATTTCATCCAATAAAACAGTTATTGATTTTAGAAAAAGAAAACGGAAAGCACCAACTCTTCTATGCTAGCGATAAAACGGCCTTTGGGGATTCTTGTGGCAAAGCAGAAAGAGCCCCAGACCAGGAGTCAAAGCAGTTACCTTGTAGCAATGGGTCTGGCACACACAGGGCTGGGGGGGTCTCGGGTGGGTTCTTCACTCTATTGTCCTGTTTCCCCTTCTGAGAAAGGATGAAAGACTATCTAATTCTCCTCCAGATATAATTTGCTAACTTTCACATAAGATTTTCAATTAAAAATGATAATGGCATCATTATTAGGATATTTTCCTACACTTCATGGGAAGATGTAGGAAGTATTTTCCAATATTGATGAGGGAATGAAATAGCTATGAGACAGCACCTGTCACATTCCGCATTAGCTCATAGATATGTTCTTTTGAAAGACACCAGCATTTTGTCACTCTTTCAACCGCTCATGTTCCACGCACTTTACCCTGTGACCTCTTTTCCTCCGGAAGCAATGAAAGCTGCTACTTACTAGAACCTTTTTTAAAGAAGCAAAATGTTTTCCTTACAAACACCCAATCAGGATTTACTGAATGACCGTTTGGGTAAAGCATTGACAAAATAAAATGTAAAATTCTGCTTTGAGCAATCGTTTCCGTCCCCTTTGCATGTAATCAATGCATGTACACATATAACCACCCTAGTGCATCTTATTTTCCTGTTTTATTCCCGAGTCTCCATTACCTCAGGCTCTAGGCCCCTCCCACCAATTCCACATGTACAGCATACACTTCCCCCTAAAAAACCGTCTCCACCCTCTAATGTCTGGATTGACTGCAGAATAAAGTCTAAGGCCTTATCTCAACCCTCTGTGAGGAGCCCAGTTACCATTACACCCTTCCACAGTCCATGGTCCAGCCACTGGGAAGATTCCCTCTTCTAGGCTTCTCCCAGGCCCTTCTCACTGTGCTCATTCTCCACATTGACTTGCAATGTCGTCCCTCCTTCTCTCTGGCAACCTGAGTGCTAGTGGTCTTTCAAAACCCTGCCGGGATCCCCCTTCCTCTATCAAGTTTTCCTGAACTCTGTATCTCGCAGAGCGTCATCCCTACTCTGTACAGCACACCGTCTGGCACAGCAAAAGAAGCGACCACAGTAGATTCGAAGCTATGCTCTCTGGGGGCCGGGGCTTCCTTTGTAAGGCTGAGGCCACTTTTAGTCAGCACGAGCTTCAGGTCCCCCTTAAAACACGGTCAGGTGTGACAGGAGTCACAGTACAAAGGTGGCCACCTCACCAGTCTCAACAGAACAGGACTGGGAGGTGCAGGGTGAGCAGCTTCCGGTGAGATGGGGAACCATGGGAAGGGCAGAGGCACCTGCCCTCACCAGGTATGCTCTTCTGGGTACCATCCATTGTGCCTTTCTACTGCCTCCACCCTCCAAAAAACATCTTTTTAGAGTAATTAGAAGAGGATGGGTAAATGCTGAATTCCCTAAGACCCTAGAGGCATGGCTATTTTTTTTTTTTCCCTCCAGGGCCTAACACAATTTAACCTGATCCTTGCCTTAATGGGTCAAAGTGACCCACAAAATAGGTCAAGTTAATGCAAACAATTTTCTAAGTTGGTTATTATCACCTCCACTTTACAAATAAGAAAACCTTTCATGGCAAAAGGTTAGCTGCCTTTCCCCAAGTCATACGGCCAGTGAGTGAGTGGCAAAGAGGAGCCCAGTAACTGTTTCCGTTCTCATATTATTTTAATTTAGTGGAAGACCTTTAGCTGAACTTTCTTTACTGTGAGAAGAGAGGAAAGAAACTCACGTGTTTGCAGGAAGTAGTCTTCAACACTTTTCTGTCTTCTCATATGATATCTCCAGGATCTCAGGTCCTCTCATTATCTGAAATATGAAAATGGCATAAGTTTAATTATTCATTTTCCATCATCCTTAATGAGGGGATTAACTGCCATGTGAAACAAAAGGAAATAGTCTGACCTTCAGGCTGTCAAGAAGTGATAATTAAAACCTCAAATCAGTTTAAATGGACAAATGAAAAGGTTTTACTGATCTTGATGTAAGTGTGCTATCAGGATCACTAAATGAAGTCACCAAATTGAGCCATGACAATGAGAAAATAAACATGTGCTAAAAATAAACATGTTTTTGTAATTATGTTCACAGGTGCTCTCCAGGAGTTTCTAAAGCCCCTTTGACTTACCTGATGTCCAAGGGTTTTGAGTGTGGGTGGAAAGAGGGTTGCAGGGCTGTGGCTTGCAGAGAGGACAGCGGAGGGGGGTGTTGTGTGCATGGGGGTGAGAGTTAGTTCAGACTCAGATGTAGAGGAGCGTCAGAAAAGTAGAAGCTAACTTGGAGGCCTGTTAATCACAGCTTCAGGACCAACTGGTTGGTTTTTCATTAATTGGTTGATCGGTTTGACCAAAAGTTCCTGTGGGAATGATTCATGGAACCATTCTGCTGCACAGCATGTAAATACAGCCTTGAGCTTTGCTATTAAAATGGTCATAAATAGCTGCGAATTACTACTGTTGTGCAACTCGTGACTTCATCATGGCTTCTGGCAGAGCAGATGGGAGCCACGTTCCAGGCAATACGGCAAGCCCCCATCTTTCCCTTAGCATTTAATGAGTGCCGTGTGGTAGGTGCTACACAAATGACAAAATGGCATCCACATTGTCCTGCTCCATGCCAGAGGAACACATTTTTCAAAAAGCTATCAAGCCTTGAAAGCCTCACATACGCTGCTTGATATATAAATATGTAACTGCCCGAAATATGGCAAAATGAGTCACTATTAATAACTCAAAGAGTCATGGGGATTCAGGCAGTCCAAATCCTCTGCCAAAAGTTCAGAATGTTTTCTCAGTGCTCTGATTTTTTTTTTGACTTTTTTTTTTTATGCTCTGTTCTTGGTTTGCTTCAGTACATTTCCTATTTAGATCCTCTACCAAGTATGTGTCAAACTTTATCTGTGACCTTACTGGGACATACCAGCGCATTCAGGACAGGAGTGGAAGGCCTTGAAAGCTACTAGGGTTTTAAAAATTATGCTTGTTTATCTAACATTTTCCATTTCTCTCAATCATAGCAACCAACACCTTTGCCATACATGCTGAAATTGCTAAAGAGGAAGCAAAGAAACTCCCTAAGTTACTTACATTGATAATAATATTGTATTATTAACTATTTGTTGAACTTTACTATTGCCAGACACAGGGCTTCTACATGTCATTGCTAAGCCTCACAACAATCCTACAAAGTAGGTGTTGTTCCCATTTCACAAATCAAGACAAATGAGCGACTCTGAGGGCTGGACTTCAAACTCAAGGTTCTTTAGCTTGAGCCATATGAAACTCCAGGAATCAATAATTTCTGACCAATAATGGCAATTTTATGGTTCAACCTACTATTGCAATGCATTGGCCCTGAAAGGAAACCCAGAATCCCCTCCTGGCATCACAAAGACTGCTTGCAGACTGGCAGTGTGTTGATTAGAAAATTGTACAATGCCGTCCTGGTCAGAGGGGGTAGAAGGAAAAGGTAAAATAATCTATTACCTTTGCACCATTTATTATTATTATTATTATGACAAGACAGGATGTGAAACTGCACAAAAACGGTAAAACATGTCAAAAATGATTTAACCTGCTTATATCCCTTGATAATTCTATTTGACAATCTCCGCATATAATCATGCTCACCAGACTTTTCCAAGTATTGAAATAATTTCTAATATTTAAAAGCTAATGATGTTAAAATATGATTTGGGTCGACCATGTGTTTTAATGTGCAGATAGTCCATGAGTCTATAATATAGATATATTATGAAAATAATTTGGTAAGAGCAATTTAGTTTCTAGGGAATTTCCTGGGAGTCAATAGTATAATGGTTTTAGATAGAAGCTATTGTCTATAACAAATTATTTCTCTGAGTTTTTTTCTTAGAAATAATGCAAAATAAACTCAAATCTTCCTTTTAATTCATAGTTTTCTCCACTGACACAGTCAGAATGGGAAATATTAAGGCAGCTAATAATTATTATTGCATTTAATATATGATGCCTACTGAACAATGGATTGTTAAATGCATAATAATTAAGAAGATTTAGTGTGACAAGTTTGGGTCAAAAGATAAATGATGGGGCCGGCCGAGTGGCGCGATGGTTAAGAACTGGCTTGGGACGCCAGAGGGCCCCGGTTTGGATCTCACATATGAGGACCAGTGACACTGCCCTCTACAGCTAAGATGCTGAACAACAGCTCAACCTAGAGCTGGGCTGCTGTGGGTCGCTGGCGACGGCATAGGTTGCAGTCCCTGTGGCAGTGGGTTGCCATGGGCTACCGTGTGTAGTCAGCAGCCAGCGTGAGCGGCCAGCAGCTGCCGTGAGCGGCCGTCCAGAAGCCGGTGACTGATCTGCCTCACCCGGGAGAGCGCAATGATGGTACCAACTTGGGCCAGTGAAGCAACATCCTCCACAACTAGACTGAAGAACAAATCGACAGCAACTTGTCTGTTCCCCTTCCCCCAATTCCCCAGCACTGTTCCCATCCCCCCAATTCCCCAATAAAAATCTTTAAAAAAAAAATCATGAGAATGATAATCACAAAACTTAAGATGGTGACCTGTCAGGAGCAGAGAGGAAAACGCCATTGGAGAGGTATGTATCAGATGCTCAAACTGCATTTGTAATGTTGTATGTGAAGAGAATAACCTGGCAAAGGTGTTTGTACCTATCTCCTTTATGACAAATAACAAATCTGTAAAAATGTGAAAGTGTTTAACATAATACTTGACAGACAGCAGAAAATCAACACACAATAAACAGCAGCTACAGCTGCCATGATTTGAACTGTAGGAGGGACTCCTGGCTTCTGAATATATTATAGAAACCATGGCACTAAAGTAGGGAAGAAACCTCAGTAAAAGGTCCTGATGACTTTCTTCTACCTAAGAATCCATATGTGGAGAACAATGTGAATATGGCTGGGATAACAAATACCTATTCAACAGTCTCTAGACAAATATTGCCTAATTCAGTGCTAATTCTGCTGGGTCANTTATAACAAAGTGATGTTGAAGAAACGACGTTATTCAAGGCCCTGTTGTACTTGAGTATTTCCCTGGGTTGTGCTAACAATTATGGCCTTTCAAAGCCTGCAGATGTTGCTGCCCTATGTACACTTTAATATAATGCAACTGTTTGAGTTTCTGTTAATTAAACCCACAGCTTCCCTTGACCAGGACTCCCTGTGCCTGAGCCCAGGCCAGGCCACTGAGACACAGTCGGCAGCAGTTACCCGTGGAGGTTTTGGGGGCACCTCCTCCCCAGCACAGGTAAATATATGGAGAGACTGGTCTGGGGGAGAAGGTGCCATGGAGAGGACGCTGAGAAAGCGGAGCCCTGAAGTGTGTGTGTCTATGGTGGGGAAATGCAGTTTCGCCCAGATGAAAGGCAGGGCCTGAGAAATGAACAAGGTTGGAGGAAAAAGAAAAGAAACACGCTCTGACAGGATGGATACATTGATTTTTTCTTTAAACTTTTTCTAGGAAAGGTGGAGAACAGGGGATTGAGACTGATGGGTGCCCTGTGAGAAGCGGAGACTGCAAGGTCAGGGGAGAGGGGCCCTATGATATTGTGATTTATAATAAGCATATATTTGGTTTTTGACCCTAGTCTCTGACACAGCACTCCTAAAACCCTTGTAAATTCCTAAGTGATAAGAGGACTAGGACCATCTTTTGTTCTACTGAGGTGACTCTTGGTGGGCTCCTGGATGGGGCTGGTCACCAGAAAGACCAAGTCATGATTAGAAGCTGGGAATTTTCAGCCCCACCGTCCAACCTCCAGAGAGAGGAGGGGTTGGAAATGGAGTTAATAATTGATCATGCCTATGTGAGGAAGCCTCCATAAAATTCCCACAGTATAGGGTTTAGAGAGCTTCCGTTGGGTGAACATGAGAATATTAGGGGAGAGCGGTGCACTCACAGAGGGCATGGAAGCTCTGAGTCCCTTCCTCCATTCCTTGCCCTGTGCATCTCTTCCATCTGGCTGTTCCTGAGTTATATCCTTTTATAATAAACTGATAATCTATTGTAGTAAGTAAAATGTTTCTCTGGGTTCTGTGAGGTGCTATAGCAAATTAAACAAACCTGAGGAGGGGGTAGTTGCAATCTCTGATCGATAGTCGGTGGGTCAGAAGCCCAGGTGACAACTGGACTTGTGATTGGCATCTGGAATGGAGGCGGGGAGGCAGTCTTGTAGGATTGAGTCCTTAACCAGTGGGACCTGATGCTATGAATATCTCCAGGTAGATACCGTCAGGATGGAGTTGAATTGTGGGATACCCAGTAGGTGTCGGAGAATTGGTTGGTGGTGTGGAGAACTCTGCCCCCAGTTGGAATTGATACTAGAATCATCTCAGAACCCTTTCGAGAAAGGAGAAGAGACTCATATAAAGGGGAGGGAACAGTGGGTGACCCCTATGACTCCCTGGCAGGGGGCTCCATGC